GGGTCTCGCTCTTGCTCAGGCTGGTTTCGAACTCCTGAATTCAAACAATCCGCCCGCCTCGGCCTCCCAGAGAGCTAGGATTACAGGCGTGAGCCACCGCGCCCGGCCCAGCCATTCAATTTTTGCCTCTGCTGCTAGCTGGGTCTCCATTGCCAAATGAACAAAAATGGCCAACCCATTGCAGTGGCTATCCATTGCCCTTCCTTACTGCAGTGCACCCCCAGCTGGCATTTTGGGGACACCCTCGTCCTCATGCAGAGCTCCACAAGCATGTAACAGATGTGCCACCCCCCCACATGGGTGCGGCTGGCTACCCTGGGACTCCCCCACAGATGCGCCACTCCCCTTACCTCTTTCTTGGCCTCTCGGCTCCTGGCTGGCTTGCCAGATGTTCCACGGGGAGCAGGTACATGCAGACCTACCCCCAAAGGCTGAAGGAACTGAGAGGCTGAAGAAAGAGATTAACAAATCTAGTTTTTCAGAGAGAAAAATTTAATAGGGACTTTCGAAGAGAAGCAATGTCTCAGGCGGCCATGAGACAGTGGATCCCCCACCAGCCTTCCAGAAAATGTCCTTTATATAGCAAGCTTTTATGGTAGTGACAGGTGCAGCTGGCCACATCTCAGACTCTGTTGCCAAACTCATAACCACTGCGGAGGTTGGATGAGCATCCTTATGAGGGTTACCTACGCTACAGGCATGGTCCTAAGACCTGCTGCAGAACACCTTGCATGCAGGAGTCAAACGCTGCTCATCATGGTGCTTTTGCCTCAAGATAGTGATATTCTTGCCTCGCAACAGGCTGTTTTCCTACAGCCACATTGGCAAGATCCAGCCGTTTGGTTTGCTGACACTTGAGAAAGCTGGTAAATGGTGGAAGGCAGAGAGTTTCCACGGCTGTGAGTGCAACAAGCCACCAACAGACTGCCAGTTCTCCGCTGAGGGTCTGCCCCAGGTAGGATCCCTCCTGCCACCTTGCAGATTCAGTGCAACTGAGCCCCCAAAGCAGCTACCCTCTGTCCCCCAACACCTGGAGGACCTCCTTTCCCTGGACCCATGAAAGGAATATGTGCAGCCCTTCTGGAAGGGGGCCCATGAGAATCTCAAGGTCTTTGCCAAGAGCCTCTTGACAGGTCAGACCTTAGCAGGCCAGAGAGTCTTTCCCTTGGGACCGGGAAGCAGTCTCTGTGCTTCCCAGGGCAGCACTCTGAGCATCTAGTGTCAACCAGCACCTTTGCCCTGATGGGCAGCCCGGGGCTAAAGCGCTATAAGTGCCCTGGGAAGTGTGGCTTTGCGTGACCATGCCCGCCGGACAGAGCGTGTGACTGTGCCTCCTCCACCTCGTCCTGCGCACTGTGCGCCGCAGGCCTGACCGGTGAGCCTGTGTGCTCCTGGCACCCACCCCTCCTCTCAGCTCTCCCAACCCAGTTCTTCTGCCAGCGTGATGAGTCCCGGGGACGCAGGGGTCCTGCTTGGGGCAGGAAGGATTAGAAAACGGGGACACAGAGATATGAATGAGGTCTCTGGACGTTGCTCTGGAGATCTGTAATGCCAAATGGATGCCGGCATGGGGGGCTCTCCCGTAACTGGGAAATTCAACTCAGCGCTACGGACACCCACCCCTGAGCACACAGTTCTCTCTATCAAGTATGTTGGACGCATTTATTTCTTAGCTAAATGACCAATATATTATCCTCTTTCTAGTGTCTGGTAAAGGCAAGAGAGAGGAGGAATGTCTTCCCCAGGGCTGTCGGGGGGAGGGGTCTCCTGTGATGAGTGCCGGTCTGCTTCCTCCCCGGAGGCCGTAGCACCCCGGGTCAGGCACTCAGGGCCCATTGTATGGCCCGCTCATCTCCATGGCCACTGCAGATGTCGGTCTGCTCCAGAACCAGCGAGGGCTCCCCCTAGGCCTGTGGGGGACTCCGGGATTCCCTCCAGGACCTGGGCCAAGGCCAAGGTTGGGGCCGTGGGGGCGGTAGACAGCTGTGTCAAAGATGTTTCTCAGGGACAGGCTGTTTCTCTAGAAAAAGAAGAGTTCAATAGTTTCAGCACTGTGTCCCCCTCTCCCAAGCCTTCACCATGGACTCCTTCAGGAATCTTCTCCCCCTTCCAACCATATCCCTCCCCTAGTGAGGGGGGCTCCTCCCTCCAGCCTTCAGTCCCCTTCTCCCAGTGGTCAACAATTTCCTCCACACATTAATTGGCTCCTCTGGGTCCAAATGGCCATTTCTCTTTGTAATTCTCTCCTGATCTCCCACCCTACCCACCTCTGATTTGGGGCCCCTTCTGTTCACCCCCTGTTCCAGATGCTCCTGCTGCTCCTTCCCGCAGGCACTTTCCTACCCATCAGACACTCACCACACAGAGGAAGAGCCCGGCAGAGAGCCCCGCGACCACGGTGACGGAGACCAGGGTGATGAGGAAGATTTCCCATGGCTTCAGGGACCCACTAGGCTTCACCTCACTCCCCGAAGTAGCAGCACTTGTGCTCATCCTGTTGGAAGTTGTGCGCATTGCAGTTGGAGCAGGCGTGCCAGAGCCTCCGGGGGTCGCGCCGGACACAGAGCTGGTGGCTGTGCTGGTCCCACCAGAGGTCGTGATGGACGCAGTGTTGGCAGTTATGCTAGACGAGGTGTTGGTGGCTGTGCCGGACCCAGAGCTGGTGGCTGTGTTGGTCCCACCAGGAGTTGTGATGGATGCAGTGTTGGCAGCTATGCTAGACGCGGTGTTGGTGGCTGTGCTGGACCCAGAGCCGGTGGCTGTGCTGGTCCCACCAGAGGTCGTGATGGACCCAGTGTTGGCAGTTACGGTAGACGCAGTGTTGGTGGCTGTGCTGGACCCAGAGCTGGTGGCTGTGCTGGTCCCACCAGAGGTCGTGATGGACCCAGTGTTGGTAGTTACGGTAGACGCGGTGTTGGTGGCTGTGCCAGACCCAGAGCTAGTGGCTGTGCTGGTCCCACCAGAGGTTGTGCTGGAGCCAGCGTTGGTTGCTGTGATGGTCCTACTGGAAGTCGGGCTGGTTCCAGTGGGGGTAGATGTGCCGGAGGCAGTGGAAGTTGCACTGGATGCAGTGCTGGCAGATGTGCTAGTCACACTGGAAGTTATTCCTGAAGATAGTCATAAATAATGACAAATGTGTTAATATATTGCACACATATACTTTCTGCTCAATACTTGGTTGAATTCATTACATGAATAATTCTATTTAATGCTCGCTGCAGCCCTCTCACATAGATCCCATCATTAATATTATCACCAGCTAAGATGAAGAAATTGCGGCTTAGAAATGTTGACACTTGCCCAAGTTTATACGGCTAGGAAGTAGTGGAACGGGAAATGGCACGCGGGCGATTGAGTCTGCGCTTTTGGTACTAAGCTAAGTCACTCTCCCACCCACTCCCAGGGCTAGAGTTACATGACCTGACTTTCCTGGTAGATACGCTCATTCCACATTCTGTTACACATCTGTTATCCAAGACAGATACAAAGTGTCATAAGGGAGTTACAGGACGGGGTGAAACTAGTATACATCTATGAATGCATTCTTAAAGTAGTATTGCTCGCTTCTTAGAAAATATTTCTCAGAATATAATTCAGAACATACCTGCATTAGAATCATTTATGGGAGCTTGTTGGAAATAAGGATTCTTAAGCAAATCACTTGAGACTAAATGAATGAGGATCTGAGATGGGGACCAGGCGTCTGCATCTTCGCAAGAAGCCAGCTGACTCTACGTGCACGGACAGGCCAGGGGTCCGCATCCCTACCGAAGGCTGGAGGGAGTAAGTTACGCGTGGCTCAGGTACATGCGACTCCCAGGATTACGGGCTATAAACCAAGCCGCACGGGTACAGGGAAGGTTGTCAACTTCTTACAGGCTCAGCTGGAGTTAAGGATGTGCCTACTTTTTTCTCCTTGCTCCCTTGAAGGATGAAGACACGGCCTCCCCTGCCTGTGTTTTCTCACCTCACTGTGGCTCGTTTTACTGCTGCCTGGGACAAGGGTGCCTAGCACCACACCCTGCATGTGTGTAGTGTTTCCTCAGTCTCATCTGCACTAACATAGGATTAGAGTTGAGCTCTATTTTGGTAAGGTCCCCCAAAATCTGCCATGGGATACAAATTGGTGGCAAGGTCAGAATCACGAGTGAAGCTAAGTAAGAAACTGGGATGACCAAGAGTAGAGGGTACAAGTCAAAGAGAAGAGATTTGGAGAACAGACAAATGAGCCAAAGTCATGGGAGGGCTAATTTTGGCCCCAAAGGATGAATTCTCCAAGAAGTCATGCTTTCCATTTGTGTCATCAAGACAGCCCCCCAGGTGTTTAACAGTGTCAGAGCTGTGGCAAGGGGGTGGAAGTCCGTTTTGAGTCTTAAATCCTGTTCTGCTTGGTCTGAGGCTGACTTAGGCTAATGTGGAATCAGCGTTAGGGACAGGAGAGAAATTGAGTTTGTACAATATAGAAGAGTGACATTTAAAAAGCAGCCAACTCTTCTTGTTCTTAATATTTAAGTCCCCAACCTCATCACGCAGGTTATTACCATTTTACAGGTGCAGAAACAGGCACAGAGAAGCAACTCCCCCAAAGTGCGCAGTTAATAGATGGAGCTACAATTCAGACATAGGCAGTCTGAGACCGGAGCCCACGTTTTAACCACTGTGTTCTGACTCCCCCCACCCCCAGCGACACATTGGTAGGCTGAAGTGATTAGAGTAAAACCATTACCCTCAATCTACGGAAGAGAAGCAGAGCTAGTCCCAGCAGTACTCACATCTACCCCAATTCCTCAAATGTTCTCAAACCACCCACTTTTAAATCAAATCACTCACCAGCTTCTAAAAGTAGGAGATGCAAGAGTAACCAATACATAAGGACAATGTTTCCTTTCTGCATCTTCATCTGCCTCTTTTGTGGCTGGAAAGCAAGAGGCCTGGGTCCCAGATGTGCCAAGACGTTAGAGGGCAAAGAACAGAGGATTCTTGAGAAAGGACAGTCGAAGGTGAAGCGTTAAAGGCTGGAGCTCCCAGGAGCTCGGGTCTCCCAAGTATGTGTTCCTGAGAAGAACCTTGAGTTTGGGGGTGGACGGCTGGATGCCTGGGCTCCTTAGGCTTCCTCCATGCGATGTTGTTGCCTCTTCCTCTGCAGTGGAAGAGCTGCAGGGGCCTTTATAGCTTCACATGGGCTGGGGAGAGGTGGGGCAGTTGACCTGACAGTCTGCCAGCTGCAAATAGGTAACAGATACTGAGCCTGGGAAGGAAGGGAGCGGGGTCAAGAGGAAGGCGAGAAAGGAGAATGACATGATCACACAGGGAGGGCACCGGGCTGGGTGTGGCAGGAAGTAGAATGGGATAAGGAGATCAAGGTTGTCAGAGTGGAAGGGACACTCCTTCTGAGGCAGGATGGGGTTAGAAACCTGTTCTAGCTCAAGACTTTGTTTCCTGGTCAGGAAGTCCTGTGAGCCTGCTTCAGCATGGAGGAAGCCCAGATGAATTGAGTTGAGAGGGCAGGACCCCTGATCTCTGAAGCAAACAGAAATAGGGGACCCAAAAGAGAATCTGGGCAGAAGACAGATGGAGCATTGCTGGGTATGCAGTCGGTACTCAACAGTGTACATCAGAGGAAGAGAGATCTGGGGGTAATGAAGCCATCTTTGGGGTCTCTGGGGCAGGGGGGCTGAGGGTGTGGGGAGAGTGTTGAATATGCAGGACAAGCCCCCATCAGACTCATAGAGGTGAAGCGGTGCAGGGCCCCCTGAGCCTCCTCCAGCAGTTCCCCTCTTCTGTTTCTGTTGTCAGAGGGAGCTTCTGTCGTAGGAGCTTTTCTGTCCCGGCAGCCCTCAGAAGTGCCTTCACCTCAGTCTTAAGGAAGCATCTCTCGGTAGAGCCCACCACAGGGAGAGGCACCGCACACATCAGGACACAAGTCTCATGGGAGGAGGGAGAGGATTCGTCCAAGTCCTCTAGGGGCTTTGAGTTTGGTGGGACACTTGGACGTAGCCAGCAGAAAAGACGCACCATCAGCTGAATGAGCATGACTGAGGAGACCCAAATGAGCAGAGGGCTTGGGGAGTTCAAGGGAAGGGCGTTTTGGGACAGGATCACGGGAGTGTCTATATTTTCTGTCTTAGTCCATTTGTGTTGCTATAAAGAAACACCTGAGGCTGCATAACTTATAAAGGACAGAGGTTTATTTGGATCACGGTTCTGCGGGTTGTACAAGAAGCATGGCGCCAGCATCCGCTCCTCAGGGAGCCTCCACTCACTGCGGAAGGCGAAGGGGAGCCGGCGTGCAGAGATCACGTGGGGACAGAGAGGAAAGGGGGAGCGGAGGAGGGGCCAGGGCTTGTCAACAGCCAGTTCTCCCAGGAACTAAGAGTGAGAACCCACCCTCCCACCCCCAGAATGGCACCAAGCCATTCATGAGGGATCAGTCCCCACAACCCAAACACCTCCCACCTGGCCCCACCTCCCAAATTCCAACGTGAGACTTGGTGGGGCCAAACAAACCGTATCCAAACTGCAGCAATGACCAAAGGGAGTTGTCCCCATTCCTCTAACAACGAGGAGAAGCTGCGTGGACGAGCCGACATCTCAGATGATTTATTTGTAGGCGAACGAGCTTTCCCGACGTGCGAGACCTGTTTGAAGGAAGCTGGCAAGCAGGAGGTGGGCTGAAAACAGGAAGGAGCTTGGGGTGAGTGAGCCTGAGAGGCAGAAAGGGTCAGGGTTGCGCTCAGAGTGGCTCAGAGTGGGTCTGCCCATGGGCTGCGATGGGCAGCTCCTGAGGCTGGGGTTTGGGGGCACAGTCAGTGACAGGTTGGGTCCTATACTCCCCGCAACCCTGTTCTGTAGCTGAAAAGCCAATAGCACTCTAAGGAAGAAATTTTTTCCCTCTAGAATTATTTGGAGGCAGAAATCCTGGATTCAAGTTCAAATCCCACCTTTTAGAAGCTACCCTAAAACTTATAAAATGCACACTTAACTTATCAGAGTCTAATGTGGCACTCAATAAGCATGCAATAATAAAAGACAAAGGGAAGACAGACAAACGTAAAAACATAAATAGGTGGATGCCGAGTGTATGTTGAGATTTTAATTTGTAGCGCTGCCCCAGTGAATTTCTCCTTACTTGTCTCCAAGCATTTGGAAGAGACAAAGAAGTAGGGAGGATAAATCTTCCCAAAGATGAAGGAGACCTGGAGGGCACTGAGTGGGTCTAAGAGGGCTTTCTGATCTACTCGGTTTGCACAACTTGAAGCTACAAACCCAAAAGAAGCATGTCACGTAATTACAAATTCGCAGGGGAGATTTTTCGCCCCCTCCTCAAAGTGCCAAGTGTAGAGACAGACAAGTTCCTCTCAGTCCCCGGTGTGCATGGTGGACAATACTATTTTATAGCTTAACCATGTACCGAGGATTTAACCTGTTTAGATCTCAGATTTATTTAGGGTCTCCTACTAGACTTCACCTATGCACAGGCCCTGGCCTTTGAGCCTGGTACTCCAGGCACGAAGGCGCTGTGAGCAGATAAGCTCAGGTTTAGCAAGTTTGGCGAATTCCCTCAATGCTGGTTCAGAGCGCCCATCAAGCCTCTTTGAGTCTCCGCCTTCTCTCAGTCATTGACCTAAATATTACCTGCATGTATCCAGCTAACTGATCCAACGGCAAAGATTTTTTTCAGTATTTTATCCAGAAATATTTATTACTTTCATTGAAAGGAGTGGTTAATGTACCTTGTCCACTATATTGCCAGAAAAGTGGACATTCTCAAAGGACTGTTTTGATCATTAAATGAGAGCATTTTTAAAGTCACCTAGCACCATGCTTAGCACATAGTAAGCACTCAGTGACAAAGGAAACAGGAGAGAAAAGAATGCCCAGGTAAGCAAGCAAGCATGTCATCTTGCTACCACAAATACTATGAGCTGTTTTTTAAGCTGTAATAATCCTCTTACTGGTCAGGCCGCATCCTGAAGAAACAATAGAAATCCAAAGCCTGAAGGGTTATGACTTGTATGTTGAGAGATCAAAGAGAAATTGCTCTGAGGTTGACCACGGTGCCCCTTTTCAAGAGGTGGTGAACCACGGTTAAGCTCAAGGGATATTTTTACTTAAGCTCACATCCACACCTGGGGAGGCTGCCGGTCTCCTCCAGAACCACTCTCTGTTTCTCTGGCTGTCCTGTTGGCCAAACTCTCTGTGATCTTTTCTCCGGTTCATTTCTTGATGTCAATCATGATCATCTCTATGGCCAATTCCCTGGTACTTTGGGGAAGCCTGTCCTGATGCATCTGATGGTCACCACCTTCTTCTGCATGATCCCCTTCTTCCCCAAGATTTTCCTTTCCATTGCATCTTTCATTATCCAACCTATGTTCATACTCTCCTTTCCCTTGGCAGCCTCCTCTGTAATCCATTTCATGGCTATTGCTGTGGCCTCCTCCGTGTCCATGACGCCCGCCATGATTCATTCCATAACCATTTCCGTGGCTGTGGCTCAGCTTATGGCCCACCCATGTCCAAAGCCGCGTGCT